AGAATACAGTGGCTTTCCACTGCGTACGCTTAATACAATTACAAACTATATCTGCTAACTCTATAATTTTTTTTGCGCATTATTTGAATTCGTCTAGGAAATGATATCGGTTCAGTTTTTCTTTGGTTTATTTTCACGAAATTATTTCTAATATTTACATTCTATTTCTTGATTTTTCAAATGGTTTTTATTTTTAGGATTTTAAAGGTTACTGTTATATTTTTAAAGACTAAAACTAATCGATGAGTTGGCGTGATAAGAGAAACGCGAGTAAATAAATTACTTGAAAGAGCATTTCAAAGATAGAACAATGAAACAATGTAATAAACACGCTAAGTCGAAATACTTGTACCTACAAAGTGCGAAAATGACTCCATATATTTCTACCTAATTAAATTGCTTTGCGTCAGTGCCGTATATACAAAATACAAGAAAAATTCAAATTTATTAAAAGAAAACAGCTTATAATGTAGGGTTTTTACATCAGAAAACTAGATTGTGCAGGATACGATCTGTCGATTTTCCTGCTAGGTAGGCATATTGGGAGGCGTTTAATGGACTTTTCCTAAGGCATCTCTCTTTAATATGCCTATCTAAAATTATCTCTAGTGTTTTCAAAAGAAAGGATGTTAGGCAAATTGGATGATAGGAGTTTGATAGGGAGGTATCTACTCTACTAGCATTGGGTATATACAACTTTCGCCATCGTCGACCCTAGCGGGATATAGCTCCACGCCAGACTTGCTGTAATCAACCTCACAAGGAGGGGTAGCAAAGGTTTCTGTCCTTTTTGCAAAAAAATATGCTATCTTCTCTGGGTGATTTGAGAAGGGAGAATGAATTCATCTTCTTTATCGTGGCGCTTGGAGAGACAACTTGTGCAACGAAGTTCCAGTCCGCCTTCTTGGATCGTGTAATTGATTCCCTTAAAGGAATGGGTACATGTTGCTTGTCCTCCAGGATTCGACTGCAGAAAGTGTTCCTGTAAAACATTATCTAATGTTTCCCAGCCAGAGTCCCTATAGGTGTCATCGGGTCTTTTTATTGAACCGACTTCCTATTTCGGATCTTTGGTGAGAAGCTTGTAAAGTCTGATACTTGCAAGTAGATCTAATATACTCTGACAGAACTTCTTTCACGATTCTCGTTTGGTCGTTCTGATGGCCTTGTTCTAGTTCATTAGGACCTTGCGGTATGTGTCCCAGCAACCAAATTCTTTAGCTAGCTTGAAAAGATGTCGAACTTCTGGTTACCTGTTGAAGTTTTCAGGTCGGTTCTTCTATGGTTTTACTGATGGCAAGTGTAGATGTGTTATCAGAAAATGTGGCTACTATCCCATTTTTCGTTTCTTGATTTACTCTAACTATTCTATTCGACAAATCAGATAGAATTTTTAAAATATCACAATATTGTTTTAATAAATGTTTACTTTTTGTTCAAGACCATCTAACCATACTTTATCAAGCGATTGAGCTACGTCTAGAAAGTGTGAAGATCTGCCCTATTTCAGTACTTTTATTTTATTTTTTTTTTGTCTTTAAATATTACAAAAATGTATTTGGTAAATTTGTTATTTATTATTTTAAAGCAATTAGTCACCCTTGTTTTCATAAAAAAATAAATCTTTGTCGCCTTATTTCCTAATATCATGAATAATTTGTGATAAAAACAAGACGATTAACATTACTATGAAATCGAAAAAAAATATTTTATTATTAAATTATTTTTATCACAACCGTAACCTTGGTTTATCATTAACATATAATATGTAATGGTTTTATAATATTTATTTAAATTAGTATTGACATATTCAATTAATAATTATGTATTTCATTTACTCGTAATGTGAAAATCGATAAATATTTTTTTTATCGGCGAAAATTAAGTAATGAATCGTACTAAAAACTATTATTTTTTGAATGCATGTCAATCTGATTTAATAACAATAATAAATTAAAAATAACAACATTTAAAGAAAAGGTTAAACACTATATTTAATAACAGTTAAATAGCACAAAAATTACATTCTAAAAAACATGAAAACATAAAAAGACTCGATTATTAAGGCTCATTTATATCTGTGAAGAAAGAAAGCAAAGATCGTTGAAGATCCGAAAAATATAAAGGTTGAATTTTAAAATGAAAACACCAATTTCCTTTACAAATGGAATCCAATTCTACAACCCTAAAGTAAAATCAAACCAAGAAAAAATGGAAAAAGCGGAAAAGAAAAGAAAAAAGTCCACAAACCAGGGATTCAACGGATATCCGTGTTTAACCCCCAAAGCATTTACCAATTAGGCCACCGAAGCAAGACGGTCGATTTGAAAAATCATCAGACATCAGATTTCAACTCTAGTCGGTAAACACATTCTTCTCCCCTCCTTCAGGTATCTCAACTCTCCTTTCTTATATTTCACATTTTAAAATGCAAAATCTACACATTGTCATTTAACTTGACGATGTTATTATTTTTATTAAGAAACATCTCCTCTTATTACTTCATTACAGTTTATCCTCAGAATAGCTGCTATTTTATCATAGTATAATAAAATCTATTTTATATCTCATTTGTGTTCTAAGCCAATCGCTGTAAAAGCTGTCGTCCGAAACCTATAGAGGGTGTTAGATTGGTAAACGGACATACGGTAAATGTGGATAGGTGACTAAAAGTTAGTTCTAAAAAAGCTATTGTTAATGGGTCTCACGTTAGTAATAACAGAGACTTTGCTCTCATTTCATTAGAACCACCCAGTATATTTTTTTGTGAATTAATTTACATGTTCCTCTTTTATTGGCACGGAGAAATCGAAGCCTCAGTCAAAATGGTCTCGTGAACGCTGCCTGTTGTTCTTCCAATGGTTCGCTTTCTTCAGGAGCTTAGAAAGTGGTGCCACAACTTACAAAAAGGAGGGCACAAAGTGGCGGTACCAAGGAGATGCCTTTAGGAACCTTCTGAGGTCTCGCTGCTTTAAATCGAACGATGGCTTCGATTTTATCGGGTTTGGTATGGATTCTGGTGCCTGTGACAACATGGCCTAAGTGTTTCAGACTTAAGAGACAGAAGTAACACTTTTCTTGGTTTGTTAGCAATTTGGCGGCTATCAGGCATTGGAATACCTCTTGAAGGTTCGTAAAATGCTCTTCCCAATACAATAATAGCGTCTAACATAAATGTGTCCGGATGATTTAAGCATTTGCGAGGCATTGTTACTAAGTTTGTTTACAAAATATGCAAAAATTAAAAGACAACAGCTAACAGAACTGCTTGTGAATTGGTTCGACGCTTGCGGTCTACTGACCGCACTTACTAGGAATGACTTATACGAGTTGCGACAGGTCTGGTTGGCAATTACCCCCACTACTTAGATCCACATTCACTACTGTTATTGCATATTTATTCACCATATTAAGTATGTTAGCCAATATTGGAAGAAGAGACGCAAATAATAGTAAGTTCTGCTGTTTATTCGATATATTAACAATAAATTTAAAAATAAGTTTTCTGTATGCCAAAAAAATCGTACGTGTTAGAGCAAATCTGAATTTATCGCATAAAAATACATAGGAATCAGAAAAAAAATCAGCTGGGACAAAATATTTGTTAACCAGTGTAATAGGCCTTATTATCACAATTTTTTTTGTGCGCATGCGTCAGTATCAGATATCTTTTTCGTACTGTTTTCTGTAAACAAGCATGTTAAAATATTCACGTGAAAAAAAAATTTTATCGGTAAATATTAATTTTAAGTGTATTCTTTTAAGAAATGGAATAAAAAAAAGTAAAGTAATAAGTGTCTTAATTGAAAAATCAATTTTTGCAATAAAATTAATTATGTTATCTTTACGGAAAGGAAAAACTAAACGGTATTGTTATGAGTATGTAAAAGTGACACACGGTAATGATTATTATTTTATTATCGTAAAAAAACTGTCAAATCATTAGGCAAAATACATATTAAAACATGTTCAAAATGAGCATTATGAGTGAAAAAATGTGGTCGAAGGGACAAATGTTTTCGATCGATTCATGGATGATGTTACTAAAGATACTTATATTTGTACACTTCATTTTCATGGAGAAAGTGGTTCAACAGAAGAAAATCCTTGTCTGGTATTACACAATATTTTTTAATATTAAATAGTACTTCGGTATACACAGTAATATTATTAAAAATGTCATGTTGATCCTTAAAATTTTAAATAATTTATCTTATTAATTATTATACTCGTGATTAACTTTCATCTTAAGTGTTTTTGCAATTTTTAATAGTTGGTTGGCATAATTAATTAGAATTGAGTTATAATTATTATTTGTTTTCATTAATTTTTTACACAGTTAATATGTAGGTATTGAAACCTAACCTCTCAATCACCACACTTTTTTCCTTGTTCCGAACGTCCACGTCACTTCAAGAACCTTTTTAATTGCTCATAATTATGTGCTTCCACAGAGTTATAAAAATGTAAATCACCATCAACGATTTTTTCTAATGATTGATTTGTATGTAAAGATAATATTGCTTTTCCAGCCATTGTTAATCAAAACAGTACGAAACTTTTGAATTGGCGCTATTTTAACATGGCGGCTGCGCTTGCGCTCATCACATGATGAAAAGGCTTATAGATTGAAATTGATTTTCCCCCACTAAACGTTTTACAAACAACTTTGGTATGACATACAGTAAGATTATTGGACGAAAGTTTTTGACATAATTTTTAGACTAATTCTTATGTATAGAAGTCACATAACTGTTTTTCCAAACGGTTGGAAATATCGATGATAACAATGAAAGATTAAATAATATAATGTATATTGGATCAGCATCAGTATTAAATTTATCTTTGAGACTACAAATACCATTAAATACTTCCTCTCATGTAAGCTTTATCATTAGAATTGGAATGTTGGAATTAGTAATACCAGAATTACCAACAAGACTTTTGAAAAATATTTATCTGATTGACAGTCACTCTAAAAAGTATTTTTTTTTTTTCAGTTATGGTAATTTTCAATTGGTGCATCCTTTTTTCTATGATAGTGACAATTTGGTGTACTTACGATTCTGCCGGCCGTTCGTGGGTGAAAATGAAAAAATATCAACGTTCGATGAGAGAATCAGAGTCGAAGTTTCAGTACAAAAGATCAGGAAGCGCTCGAAATTGGAGACAAAGGTTAGTTACAAGTATGAAGACTAGGCTCAACGAAACTCTAACTAATAAATATATTTTAGAAAAGTACTCAGAGCGTATCAGGACAGTTGGCACAATCGGTGTCGATTTTTGTTTTGTTGTTCATCGGCCAACGACAGGAACAGAAACTCTTTTGCTGACATCGCTAGATTGCTGTCGGATTTTTTTCGGGATCTGGATGTTGTTCCTTCTGACGTGATAGTTGGTTTAGTTTTACTTAGGAAATTTCAGAAGATTGAGCAAAAAGCTATTGTTGAACAGGTACATAATGATGTATAAAATACCATAAACTGTCAATATCTGTGTATTAAGAGCGAAAAGTGATACTTTGTCGGTTAAGAGACAGAAAATCTGACGAAAGCAGTTACGAATTTTTTGCTCATAATGCACATAAGATTTTTTCTACGATCACATTACTTTAAGAAATATATATAAAAACTAAAAATTTTACGTAAATAGTGTATAATGTGTTGCCTATATCTACGTTATTCATGAAAAAAGGAGTTGATATTCAAAGTCAATGTTAACTTGGACAATAAAACAAAAGAAAAAAAACATCAAACTACGCACCAATAACTTCAAAATAGTTTATTAAAAAGAAATATTACTATATTATATCTAATTTAAATTAAACAAGCAACAAAGCTGTCAAGTTTTCCGCTCGCCCAGTGAAAAATCTGTCACTTAATGTCATTTCGCGATAAACGTCAACTTTGCGATTGTATTTTGAAGCGCAAAAGCCTACTTTGGATAGTAATCGTAGATAAAAGTAATTTATACTATGGAGATACTATAAAATATTTATTCAAACATTGAAACTAATTATATTTTAAGAGTAAATATTTTATTTTTAGCGTAAAAATGATACCTACGAGTTCCTTTCCGGTGTTGCCATAACTCCTCGGACACAATTCCTGTCATTACATGAGGATGGAGTAGATTTAGAACGTTTTCAGGCTGTTATCCACTTCGCCCATTTTGCCGTTAGGGCATACGGCTGGCCAATCTTCATGGTGACTAATTCAATGGGACTATGTCAACTGTGTGCTGGCTTAAGGTAAGATATTAAGTTATTATAGATATTTGATTTAATACAGAGTGAGTTTTAAGTAATTAAATAAAATTACTGATTAGGTATATGGAATTACTAATTTGCAGATGACTCCTGCTACCTTGCAGGGAGGGCGGCGCCCCAACTCCCTCCCCCACCAGCCGCCATGGATTTTGAGTAAAATGAAAGGAAATTTATAATTGGCTCCTGGGGATAACATATTCGATTTTCCTTAACAAAAATAAAAGGTATTTTTTTGCCAATATTTTCACGCAAGTCATGTTCACTAAATGATTAACTAATAGAACTAGGCTTGGAAAACCTAAGGCTTTAATGTTGCAAGTGGCTAAAGAGTTGAAATAAGGGCGCAATCTTAAAAGAAAAAATCGAGAATTTGACCGATTTTTATAACCCCATTAAATGTATAAAAAAGTACATCGTGACTAGTCCGAAAAACATAATGGCTTCAATGATCCGAATAGAATTTTCCATGTATTATCCCCAAGACTCACTTATAAATTTCCGTTTATTCTACTCAACATCGATGTATTGTCAACCCTCTTCGAAAATGGGGCACCTAAATCCTACTCTACTCAGCAGTGGCGCACTGTATATACTTCATTTTATTTCACTATTATTTTCAATTGTTAGAAGTTAAAAGAATTAACTTCAAATTTATTAATTTTAAATGATTTATCACCCTGTATAGCCACTTCATAAAACACGTGTTAACATGGTTTTATAATGTTTTATTAAATATCTCGTAAACAATGTTTAAAATGTAATTAATTAAGGAACAAAATAAAGAATGTCTTTAACGGCATATTGCCTATCACTTCATCGCGTTCGCTGGTCAAAAAGTCAAGTCCCCGCTCTCGGCGCTCTCTCCTGGTCCTGAACACTGAAACGGGTAGATGTGGTATTGTCCACCCCAGTGGCGGCGATATCCTAATACGCTGACTCTAACAGACACTGCAACAGGCAGACGTGGTATCGTCGACCCAGTGGCGGCGATATCCTAATTCGCTGACTCTAACACGGCCAGACTGACGGGTGTTTCGTTCTCGAAACATATATCCATTTCCACTGTGGTGTGTTCATTTTCTGTGGAAAAAGGTAAAACGTGACCTACATGCCAAGGTCCAATATATACTTTCATAACCCCGAGCTTCAAGATATTGTAAATCTTGAAAAACAAATCATAAATAAAATATTTCATGGGAGTATGCTGACCCCATGCTTTAATTTATAATCCTAAAAAAAAACAATTTATGGGAGTACCCCATTTTCAAGTTGTAATCTTGAAAAATAATTCATAAATAAAATAATCCATACGGGAGTATGCTGACCCCATTTTTCAATTTTTAATCCTAAAAAAAATTCATAAATATTTCATGGGAGTATGCTGACCCCATCTTTCAATTTGTAATCCTAAAAAACAATTCATAAATATTTCATGGGAGTATGCTGACCCCATCTTTCAATTTGTAATCCTAAAAAATAATTCATAAAAAATTTCTTGGGAGTATGCTGACCCCATCTTTCAAGGCATATTATTCGCCCTTAAGACAGAACAATACAGATGGGAGTATGCTGACCCCATCTCTCAAGGCATATTATTCGCCCTTGAGACATAACAATACAGATGAAGTATGCCGACCCCATCTCTCAAGACATATTATTCGCCCTTGAGACATAACAATACAGATGGGAGTATGCTGACCCCATCTCTCAAGGCTTATTATTCGTTCTTAATACATGAAATATAACATTAAAGATGGGTGTATGCTGACCCCACCTTTCGAGGCTTATTATTTCATCCCTGCAACAATAAAAATCAAAGCAGCCAAAACAAAACATTTACTTTACCTTCAGTTTAAAAAATTGATAAAGTCTTGCAAATCTGTCACTAATAATAACCCGCTCGGACAAAGCCTGACTGGTTTAACATTTTTCGGAGATGAAATTTTTGTCAACGCTTCTATTTTTCTCTACTCCGATCTACCATCTTCGGCGGAAATCTTCCAAGAAAATCAATTTTTGTTTGTGAAAACATTTTCAAATATTTAGGAAAAACCTGCTGTTTCTGAGGCTTCTAGAACTTGCTCTAAATAAATCAAACCATATGAAACAATTTTGCTAAAAGTCGACATGGCAATAAAATTATCAATTAAATTAATTTCCATAGCACACTTGTTTATTGCAGAAACAGAAAAACAAGTAAACCACAAATTCTAGTAATTTTTATTTTTATTTTAATAATCTGACATAATTGATCTCGATATTGTTCAAGTACTTTTAATTGATTTACACTAATTCCAAAATCCACGGAAATTTTTAAAACACCCGGTAACTGTCGGTTTATAATACGTACCTACGTATCATTATAATCAGTAACATAAACATTAAACGTGTACCTAGACTGAGCTGGCTTGCCTGTAATTTTAACATCTGTTCCAAACTTATATTTTGAAATAAACTGTCTCAAGTTGCGCCCAAAAATACAAATTTCCTGTAAATTAACCGGGACTGTTCAATAAATGTTTCACACTTCAGAGGGACACTTAAATTAATAAACCCATATAGGCTGATTAATGTTTATTTCCATTGCTTTTTTTCTGAAGAAACACAATTAATTTTATGTGTTTTATCTTTGAGTCTCTAAGAAAACAGTTTTAGTTACGTAACCTGACTTAAATCAAAAAATACATTATTTTTTTTTTTTTTTTTTTGGATTAGCAATATCGGCATCATTATGAATGGTTGACTCTTAAATTTTTATCTCGCTTAAAATTCTGAGAGTGTTGAATTATTTTGGAGGAACAATTATTGTTTCTTACACATTGTTATTATTTCTTTTTTTATTAAAATACACATTTTGGAATGGTGCGTAAATATGAAATTAAATCACTAATTGTTAATTGCATTGAAATCTCTAATAGTAACGGATTCTTGTACATTTCATGAATCCCGTAAACAATTAATTCAGTTAAAAAATTAAACCTTCTGTACTTCGATTAGCACGCAAATTTTCCACTAAAGTAACCTTTCTAATTTGAACATAAACAAGTATAAAAATTAGAGAGAACTGTCAAAAGAAGAGCTTCAAAAAGTAAACGTCCAACAATTTTCTGTGTGAAAATGATTCATAAAAATTCAAATTTAAAATTTTTCAATAAAGCAACACTTTTTTATGAACATAAGCTTCACAAGATCTAAAGAGTGAGCTGTCAAAAGAAGAGTCTACAATTTTCTCTATTAAAATTACTCTTACAAGTTCAAATTTAAATTTTTTTTTTCAATGAAACAATCTTTTTTGTTTTGAACATAAAATGTATAAAAATTAGGTTGAGCTGTCAAAAGTAGAGGCTTTAAAAAATAATCGTCCAACAATGTTCTATGTGAAAATGACTGAATGAAGTTCAAATTTAAAATTACATTTTTTTTTTCAATAAGGCAATCCTTTTTTTTATAAACGTAACCATTTTCTGTGTAAAATTGACTCTTAAAAGTTCAAATTTAAAATTAGACCATTCTCTTAATGTTGGAGACCAATTCTCAAACCATATTTTAGCATCGACCAATAAAAAGCGTTCAACTCTTACCAGTATCTGCTGGTCTTACCACTCAAATTTATCTTTATCTTTTCGAACTGTTGTATCCAAACCTTAGAATCGTCGGTATCTGACCAACATAAAAGCAAATCAACTTGTTCTGGAGTTTTTGCTGCTGTTTTTGAAACACAAAAACAAAAACAAAAAAAAAACAAAAAAAACAAAAAAACAAAAAAAAAACAAAAAAACAAAAAAAACAAAAAAAAACAAAAAAAAGTAAAAAGAAAGGTAAAAAACAATGTCAAAATTAATAGAAGCTTCTTCATATGACGCATTTTTTATTTTATATTTAACTAGCTATTGCCCGCGGCTTTGCTCGCGACTTTGCTCGCATGTAGTCGTTTTTTTATTATAAAAAAATACATGACTTCCTTTTTTATTCATTTTTATTTTTATTCATTTTTAATAATTTTTATTAATTTTTTATTAATTTTTTAATAACTTTTATTAATTTTTATTAATTTTTATTAATTTTTATTAATTTTTATTAATTTTTATTAATTTTTATTAATTTTTATTAATTTTTATTAATTTTTATTAATTTTTATTAATTTTTATTAATTTTTATTAATTTTTATTAATTTTTATTAATTTTTATTAATTTTTATTAATTTTTATTAATTTTTATTAATTTTTATTAATTTTTATTAATTTTTATTAATTTTTATTAATTTTTATTAATTTTTATTAATTTTTATTAATTTTTATTAATTTTTATTAATTTTTATTAATTTTTATTAATTTTTATTAATTTTTATTAATTTTTATTAATTTTATTAACTTTTATTAATTTTTATTAATTTTTATTAATTTTTATTAATTTTTATTAATTTTTATTAATTTTTATTAATTTTTATTAATTTTTATTAATTTTTATTAATTTTTATTAATTTTTATTAATTTTTATTAATTTTTATTAATTTTTATTAATTTTTATTAATTTTTATTAATTTTTATTAATTTTTATTAATTTTTATTAATTTTTATTAATTTTTATTAGTTTTTATTAATTTTTATTAATGTTTATTAATTTTTATTAATTTTTATTAATTTTTATTAATTTTTATTAATTTTTAATAATTTTTATTAATTTTTATTAAATTTTAATAATTTTTATTAATTTTTATTAATTTTTATTAATTTTTATTAATTTTTATTAATTTTTATTAATTTTTATTTTTTATTAATTTTTATTAATTTTTATTAATTTTTATTAATTTTTATTAATTTTTAATAATTTTTATTAATTTTTATTAATTTTTAATAATTTTTATTAATTTTTATTAATTTTTATTAATTTTTATTAATTTTTATTAAATTTTAATAATTTTTATTAATTTTAATTAATTTTTATTAATTTTTATTAATTTTTATTAATTTTTATTAATTTTT